CCTCGGCATCTCAGAGTAATCGACTCTACTCGTTTTGTTTGCCTTCCTCGGCGGTCCCTGCGGGTTTCGAGCCTTGGTTCTTCGCTATGTCGCTTCCCCTTCGCCGTGGTGTCGTTCCTCCGGCCCTCGCGCGTTCCCCCTTTTCGGGCCCTCGTTCGGTCTTGTTGCTGCTTGGGAGCTAGCGTTGTTTTTTTTTTTTGTGTTATTCATATCTCTCTATATATACATATATATACATCTCCAAGACAAACTATAAAACAACGACCATATCAAATTCGAATAGACCTTGTGGACCAGCTCGAGCGCTGGTTAAGGTGTGTGTGTGTGTGTGCGTGCCTGGCAGGCCTCAGTCCCTGGGGCCTTTCCTTGTCTGAGGAGCGCGCTGATGCTATCCATGGCCAAGGCTCCAATTGGACTTCCCCTGCCTCGCAGACCCTCAATTCCTTATCCGACGGTTCCATGAGCCAGGGGCCTGGCGGCGAGAGGTGAGCGGGCGGCTGCGGGCGGCGGGCGGCGAGGGCGTGGCCCGCAGAAAGAGTTCTTTGCACGCACGGGCCCTTTGGCCCTCGAGAAGCAACAACAAAAACGCCCTCACCGCAGTTCTTGCCGACCCCTGCTTGCACGAGAAAGTAGACGCCAGAGGTGTCCCAGACGCGTCCGCTCTGGGTCCCACCATTCCTCGCCGAGACGGCGCCCCCGCCGGCGCCCCGCGACGCGCCCCGCGACCCCACACCAGACGATGCGACGGACGAGGGGGAAGAGGGGGAGGAGGAGTAGAAGGACGACGAGGAGGAAGGGGGTGGGGGGAGGAGGAGGAGGAGGAGGAGGAGGAGGAGGAGGAGGAGGAGGAGGAGGAGGAGGAGGGAGGAGGAGTTGGAGGAGGAGGAGGAGGAGGAAGGTCGGGCCGACCAGCCCTTGGGGGTGAGGGCTACATCCGCGGGATCTCAATGCCATCGCACCGCGCTCCACATGAAAGGAGGGAGACGATGAGGGAGGGGGGAGAAGAGGACCAGAAGGACAGAGGGAGGGAACGAGAAGACAGAGAGAGAGGACGGATGCTAATGGGGGTGAGGGCGAGGGTGGTAATAGTATTGATGATGACGTCGTTGAGGATGCGGGTGGTGACGATGAAGATGGTGAGGTTGATGGTGATGGGGGTGATTGTGATGATGATATTGGTGATGATGTCGGTGGTGATGGAGATGATGGTGATGGTGATGGCGGTGGTGATGCCCAGGACGACGACGACAATGACGATGATAACGATGGTGGCGATGATTACTATAAGGAAAAGGATGGCGATGATGGTGAGGAGAAGGAGGCAACAAGAGGGATCGAGGAGGGAGGAGGATAATGGGAAACGGAATGGTGTCACAAACACGAGAAGGAGGCCGCGAGGCATTTCGCCAACGTCGACCGAAACGAAACGAAACGAAAACGAATAGTGTCATAATGAGGAGAAGGAGGAGCAGGAGGAGTGGAGAAGGGAGCCATAGAGTCAAGGGGGGGACAGGTAGGAACAAAGGAAGGAGAGGATGAGGATAATGAGGAGGGATTGTCATGAGGGGGGAAGAGCTGGTGACGCCTATCGGGGTCTCTTGGGAGGCTTTCGCGTCTTGAAGGCAATGGAAGAAAGGCAATGGACATGTGATTTCGAGTTCTCCCTGTCGGGCCCCCTTGCGGCCGTTATGAGGGCCTCTCGGGGGCTGCGGGGGTCGTGTTGGGGCGAGATTGAGAGCAGATTGGGCGGCCCAGGGCGGTTCCAGGGCCTGACATCAGCGCATTGTTTAATCACGCTGAAAAGGTATTGCGATGAGGTCGGCCAGTGGACGACGTGGCATGACTAGGATACAGCTGAGATGTTTTCCTTGACGTGAGGTGCATGTGCTCTACACAAGGGGTGCTTTGAGTACATCGCCCACGGCTGCGCTCACAGCATCCCAGAGACAATGTCGAGACCACACTGCATACACAACACAAACGTTGACAATGCACAATAACGACACGCTTGGTTGAGCAGCTTGCAGTGACCATTCCATGCCAAACACAGGTGGCACACATGGCTGCCGCAGTGAAACTATGGTCTTCGATGGTCCCCAGAGCTCTCGATTCATATAATACGAGCGCGTGAGAGCACGTGTGTACACTTAAATGTTTAAACACATGTTCAAGTGAACGAATGTGAGCTATGTGGCGTAACCGGCATGGCGCAATATATGAGGCCCCGAAATTGTTGATGCAGCTGCGTGATGCTACATATGTGGGCGACTGTATTTGGTGCACACTATGTTGCCGCGGATGATCATATGGGGGGCATGGTTATGAAGCATTTGAGGCACCATTCGGACGTCAGCGATTATAAGAAACGAGTCATGGAATCTCTCAGCACTACGAAAGGTCAAGCGTGGAACCACGGGCATGAATTGGAGACATCCTCGCGCGGAGTTGTTACCGGCTGGTGTATCGAAAACCATGGCGGTGGTCTTTCATGGCAGAGCATGCGCATCTCATATATCTCACTTTTGCGAGCTTGGACACCACGCAGTAAGTTATGGCACCGTGGATGTGTAAGGTACGTGGTGCAATCTATGTGGTGCAATTCGCATCGTTAGATATGCATTGTGCAAAGAATGTTGAGTACCATGTGTGGTGAAAGCTATAAGGTGCCAAGCAGGTGTGCAAGTTGCCTTGTACACGGTATGTACTGCAATATCCGTTGTGCAAGTTTTGTGGTGCAATCTACGTGGTTTGAGTTATGTGTGTCAAGGTTTGTGGTGCAAGCTAGTAGTGCAGTCTACTTGGCGCAATATGTGTTGTGCAAGCCGTGTGATGCAAGCTATGTGGTGCAAGGTATGGAGTGCCGCCGACGTGGTGCACCATACGCGGTGCAAACAATGTCGTGCAAGCTCTTTTGTGTAAGCTATCTGGTGCAAGCTATGAGATATAAGCTATGTCGTGTAATAAACGTGGTGCTAGCTATGTGGTGCACGCTTTGTGGGGCAAGCTGCGTGGTTCAATTTACCTGTGCACTTCACCCACGGCGCAACATCCGCGCGTGACCACCTCCCATGCTCGCGCAAGCATCCAAACTCACCATGCGCAACTTGTTCCAAAGCTCCAATGGCAAGTATCTCAAGGAGTGTACGGGCGCGCGGAACTCACGCGCGGAGACGAGTCCGTCATGCAGGTCGCGAATTGTTGGTGGCGATGGTGACGGGTGAGGCGCCAAAGACGATGGCGATGACAGTGGTGATGACGTTGATGCCGATGACGATGACAGTGGCGATTGGGACGATCCGATGCCGACGACGGCGAGTGTGACCGTGATGGAGATGCGGGTGACGAGATTGCTGGTGGCAACGATGACGATGGCGATGATGGTGACGATGGTGCTGGCGATAATCATGAGGAAGTGCGCGCGCGCAACCCTGACAGCGGTGATGATGATGCCGGTGAAGACGATGATGATGTTGATGATGACGATTATGATTACGTTTGTGATGCTTATGCTGTTGGTGATGATGGTGATGATGATGGTTATGATGATGGTGGTGATGACGATGGTTATGATGATGACGACCACAAGGCTGGCGTTAACGATTATGAAAACGATTATCCGAATGAGGATGATGAGAGTGTGTTCCCCTCAGAAGGTCAAACACCGTGCTATGCTCTCCATGGAAAACAATTGGGTGCTCGTAAATGTTTGCGCGCAGCTGTCCTGAAATAGCTAGACCATCAATCGTTTTTCACGGAGTTCGACGCGCGCGTGGCGGCGCGCGCATCTGTCTGGCAGTGTATCTTCTGCAAGTCATCATCAAACACATGTGTTTTTCGTACGTCGACGCATGTGCATTGGGGGCATGCTTCTGGCTGATATTTCGGATGGCGACCGTGCAGAGCATGGACAAACAGTACGCGTATGAGCGTGGCCTCGAAGGGGGGGGGGGGGAGATTCTAGTTTTTTACCCGAACAGGGAGCACGTGGGTGCACGAGGCGCCCACGCGGTGGCGGGGGTGGCGGGCACCAGGCGAAACCTCGGCACGGCCCCCCAGCGCATGGGACGTCCCCGAGGTGCTCTCTGCCTCCCACGGGCGGGCACCAGGCGGAACCTCGGCTTTTGCCCGCCCATCGCGGCGCGCCCAGGAGGCCTCCCACGGGCGGCACCGGGCGAGGCCCCCGCACATCCCACGGCCCCCAGCGCGGGGCGCCCAGGAGGTGGCCACATGGGGGCGGGCACCACATGCGAAACCTCGGCATACTGGGGAGGGGGGGAGGAGGGGGAGGAGGGGAGGAGGAGGAGAGGAGGAGGAGGAGGAGGAGGAGGAGGTGAGGTGGAGGAGGAGGCACCAGGCGAAGCCTCGGCACACACCCGCCCCCCCCGCGCGGGGCGCCCACGGGCGCCCCGCGCGGCCAGGCACCCGCCGAGCCCCCGGCGTAGACCCGTCCAAGTCATGAGCTTTGGTCAATCCTCCTCCTCCCTCCTCCTCCTCCTCCTCCTGCCTCTGCTCCTCCTCCTCCTCCTCCTCCTCCTCCTCCTCCTCCTCCTGCTCCTCCTCCTCCTCCTCCTGCTGCTCCTCCTCCTCCTCCTCCTCCTCCTCCTCCTGCTCCTCCTCCTCCTCCTCCTCCTCCTCCTCCCGCCGAGCCCCCGGCGTATACCCGTCCAAGTCATGAGCTTTCTTGGCATCGCTTGGCCGTGTGCAGTTTCCCTTCGGCGAGGGCCATCGAGGAGCATCCTGGATCACTTGGCGAAAGAGCCACGCACGAAACCGACACAGAGACAGGGAATGGACGTCCGAGCGATGGCCAGCTTTGGTCACCCGGCAAGAGCCCCTGCAGGTGCAAGTATGGTTTTGGGGGGAAATCGGCCCACTGCTTGGTGTCTTCTTGGGGGCCCGTTCGGCGTCATCTTTTGCGGCGCACCTCTCCCCAGCCGGCGCTGAGGCCTCCAAAGAGAATGGCAGCGGTGTCGGCCCTTCGTTGGCTCCCCCCCCCAAAGGCTCGGGGATCATCCTGCTGGAGGCGGCGCAGTGCTGGCGCGGCGCCGCCTACCTCGGCTTCGACCTCGACGAGGCGCAGCTGCGCCGCTTCGCCGGCAACCTGCGGCAGCTCTCGCGGGGCCACGCGATCTCCGCGTGCCGGGCCGATGTCGTTCGGCTGCCCCTCCCGGACGGTAGCGTCGACGCCATCGTGTGCGATCTGCCCTTCGGCAGGCAGCACGGGACCATGGAGAGCGTTGCCTTGCTGTACCCAGCCGCGGTCGCGGAGTTCCGGCGCCCCAAGAGCAACACACTGCGTAAACATGGTGGAATTGTCCGGAGCTCCGCGCGGATTCTTCGGGCCGCCGCTGCGACCCCTCTCGCGGCCCTTAGGGGGCCACATGCGAACCCTACCCCTACCCCTCACGATTTCTGAGGGGAAGGGTGGGGTTCACTTCGCTCGAGAGCTCCCGAACGAAGGGAACCCCACCCTGCCCCTCAGAAATCGTGGGGGGTAGGGGTAGGGTTCGCATGTGGTCTCCTAGGCCCTGACGGCATCTTCGTCGCTGCGATCCTCGGAATCCGCGCGGACAGCTGGCAGGCCACGCTGCTTACAGTTGAGAGCTGTTGCTGCTCTCCCAGGCGCGTGCTGCGGTCGGGCAGCGGGCGCGCGGTCCTCCTCACCAGCCAGGCCAACTCGGAGATGCTGGCCGACATCTTCGCCCGCGCGCCCGCGGAGTTCACCACCCACCAAACCACCCCAACCCAACCCGAAGGCCTCAATTTGCCCTCCATTTCCATTTGGGGGGGGGGGGGTCGGGGAACATTGAAAAAACACGTATGGAACCCGCACCCCCCCCGAACCCGAAGTTGGGGTCTTCGGGTTGGATTGGGGTGGTCTGGTAGGTAGTCAGGAGTGGACGGTGACCTGCCGCCGCCGCATGCTCCTGGGGAAGATGGAGGCCGTGCTGCTGCTGGCGGAGGCCCGGCCCACCGGGGCCGCGCCCGGCGAGCCCGGCGCGCTGCCCGCGGAGAGCATGCGGCTGCCCTGGGAGCAGCGCATGGGCCGGGCGTGCTGGAACGCCGACAAGGCTCGGGGAGGAGACACCTGCACATCCCCCTCGGGGGTCTCGTCCTTGGAGGGGCGGTAGGTGAGGGAGGTCGCGGGCTGCGGGGGAAAGGGGCCCCGAAGGGGCCCCGAACGTGCACGAGCAGGTGCACCTTTCTTCGCCCCCCCCTTTTATTTTTGGTGACCACATGTGAACCCTTCCCCCGTCCCCCACGATTTCTAAGGGGGGGGGGGGGGTCACCTCGTTCGGGAGCTCCCGAGCGAAATGAACCCGCCGCCCCACCCCCCCCCTGAAAAATCGTGTGTGGCGGGGGTGGGGTTCGCATGTGGTCACCTAAACCCAGACATGCGACGTCTTGCTTTTTCAGGACGGCGTCCCTGGAAGACCCGTCACTTTCCCGGGGACTGTTTTTTCGTCCTGGGTTGTTTTTTGGTGGTCCCGAGGCCCGGCGAGGGCCCCCCGGGGCCGAAAATATCCAAACATTTCACGGGAAATGAGATTTGTTTCAAGACGCGAGCATGCCTGGGAATGTGGCCTCCAATGAAGCAACGCCTGATCACCACCGTCTTTGGCCAGGGGCATCCTGGGCCGTGCAGGACGGTGTGCGGACCTTCTCGGGCCCCCGCCAGCAGGGCGCGCCAGGGCCCAGGATTAAGTCGGGCACGTCCCTCTACAGGAGGAATATTCAAAAATGGTACAAACAAATAGTTTTGGGACGATGTTCGAATGGTTGTGACTATTTCGGGCTTTTGTTGGTATATATATGTGTATATGTATATACATAGTTATACGTATATATATATATATATATATATATATATATATATGTATATATGTATTTGTATTGATGCATATATATATATATATATATATACCGTGTAAAGTCACCCTGTAGTGGGACAGGCCCGACATAAGCCCAGGATGGCCATGCGTATGGTCTTAAGGCGGGCGAGCCCCTCGACAGGAGGACAATTCCAAATCAGAGAAATAGTCTGGCGACGATTTGTTTCCCCACATGTTTCGTGGGGTTCTGGTTTTCTTCTCTGCCGCGTCTCACCCGCGTTTCTCCTCCACATTCTTTTCCTGCCTCGTCTCGCGCCCACATGACCACATACACATGATACGCACGCTCATATACAGCCGCACACGCATCATGGGCACCCACATGAGACACGCGTGCAGAATACGGCACACCGGCACAGACACATACACACAGACACACATACACAAACACACACACAGACACACATACATTCCCTCACCCACGCGCAACACCTGCACGGCACGTACATGAGACACGCGTAGCACACTTCACAACACAGCGCAGCGCAGCACAACACAGCGCTGCTCAGCAGCTCAGCTCAGCTCCGTCGCACGCTCGCAAAGCGCGGCAGGCGTGGTAGTTCATCGACACGAGAGGAGGGGCGGCCGCTATCCGTGCCAGTCGTCCAGGCATAGCAGGCGTGGCACTTTCTCGACACCACAGATGGTGCGCAGGGGGTGGTCCCTGTGCGCGGCCGCTATCCGTGCCAGTCGTCCAGGCATAGCAGGCGTGGCACTTTCTCTACACCATAGGGGGTGCGCAGGGGGTGGTCCCTGAGCGCGGCCGCTATCCGTGCCAGTCGTCCAGGCATAGCAGGCGTGGCACACCATAGGGGGTGCGCAGGGGGTGGTCCCTGAGCGCGGCCGCTATCCGTGCCAGTCGTCCAGGCATAGCAGGCGTGGCACTTTCTCGACACCATAGGGGGTGCGCAGGGGGTGGTCCCTGAGCGCGGCCGCTATCCGTGCCAGTCGTCCAGGCATAGCAGGCGTGGCACTTTCTCGACACCATAAGGGGGTGCGCAGGGGGTGGTCCCTGAGCGCGGCCGCTATCCGTGCCAGTCGTCCAGGCATAGCAGGCGTGGCACTTTCTCGACACCATAGGGGGTGCGCAGGGGGTGGTCCCTGAGCGCGGCCGCTATCCGTGCCAGTCGTCCAGGCATAGCAGGCGTGGCACTTTCTCGACACCATAGGGGGTGCGCAGGGGGTGGCCCCCGAGCGCGGCCTCTATCCGTGCCAGCCGTCCAGGCATAGCAGGCGTGGCACCTTCTCGACACCATAGGGGGTGCGCAGGGGGGGGTCCCTGAGCGCGGCCGCTATCCGTGCCAGCCGTCTAGGCATAGCAGGCGTAGCACTTTCTCGTCACCATAAGGGGGTGCGCAGGGGGTGGTCCCTGAGCGCGGCCGCTATCCGTGCCAGTCGTCCACGCATAGCAGGCGTGGCACTTTCTCGACACCATAGGAGGTGCGCAGGGGGTGGTCCCTGAGCGCGGCCGCTATCCGTGCCAGTCGTCCAGGCATAGCAGGCGTGGCACCTTCTCGACACCATTGGGGGTGCGCAGGGGGTGGCCCCCGAGCGCGGCCGCTATCCGTGCCAGTCGTCCAGGCATAGCAGGCGTGGCACTGTCTCGACACCATAGGGGGTGCGCAGGGGGTGGTCCCTGAGCGCGGCCGCTATCCGCGCCAGTCGTCCAGGCATAGCAGGCGTAGCACTTTCTAGACACCATAGGGGGTGCGCAGGGGGTGGTCCCTGAGCGCGGCCGCTGGCTGGCTTGAATCTGTCCTTGATGGAGGATAGAAGGCTAGGAAGAGGGAGGAGGTTCAAGCAATACGGCGTTGAATGACACAGAGGGGAGCATTCGCGACGAGGGCTGAGAACGCAGAATTGCGCATATATTATAAACTTAAGCAAGCACATAAGATTTAAATTAAGTACGTGGGGTTCCTCGGTAGCGTAATTACTATTGTTGATCATGTCTGCTATTTTGTCGGATTGTTGTTCGAATATGTTTAACTTCTTCGCCCAAAATCGGCCTGCAGGGGGACATGCCCGACCTAAGTGTAATCCAGGCGTGGTGGTGGTCTCGGCATGGTGGTGGTGTGCAGGTGCCCCCTGCGTTAGAGGCGGTGCTGCGCCCTCCGCTGACCTCTGTTGCCGCGGGCCGCGGTCGCAACCGCAGTGGCGCGACGCTGACCTCGGAAACCTCATCGTCCTCGTCCCCATTGTTTCGGGGGCGGCAAAGAGGGGGGTGATGACTAGGGGGGGGGATATCATGGCGGGGGCCACGATATTTCCCCAGATTTCATTGCACCTCTACTTATTCCATTGCGTCCCTGGCCCCCTCGCTGGGCCGCGCACATGCCGCCGGCCATGATCTGCACCACCCCCTCTTGGACACCCCCCTCTTGGCCGCTCCCGAGTTTTATCTGGCCGGTTCCAGGGCGTGCCCTTCTGTCGGGCGTGTCCCCTACAGCGGATTTCCGACGAAATATAAAAGATACCCCATAAATGCCCCAAAAAGGTCAAAGGATATTCAAAAAATAGTCCCCAGAATATTTTTTTACGATTTTAAAAAATTATTCTTGGGGTTCTTTTCTATTTTTCGTCGAAGATCCCCCTGTAGGGGGACAGGCCCGACTCAAGCGTGCCCCGCCGTCGAGGTGGCTGGGGGCTGGCTCCTCCTCCCCCGGCAGAGGGCGCGCGGAGGCCCCCCGGTGTGGTGCAGCGGGGGGCGCCCTGCCGTCGGAATCGGCCACGCGCAGAGGGGGGTGGGGGGCATGCCTCCCTTCTCCCTCCTCCCTCCTCCGCCTCCTCCTTTTCCTCCTCCTCCCTCCTCCTCCCTCCTCCTCCTCCTCCTCCTCCTCCTCCTCCTCCTCCTCCTCCTCCTCCTCCTCCTCCTCCTCCTCCTCCTCCTCCTCCCTCTCCTCCTCCTCGCGCCAGGTTTTCGCCCGGTGGGCCGCCCCGTCGCCGCCGCCCCTCCCTTGGGCCGCGCACATGCCGCCAGTCAGGACTTGCGCAGAGGGGGGTGGGGGGAGGGGGGAAGGCTTCTCAGAAGCACCGCTGCGTCTTAGGAGGCGCGGGCCCTGTCTGTAGATGTAAGGCCCGCGCCTTCTAAGGAGCAGCGGTGCTTCGAAGAAGCCTCCCCCCCTTCTCCTACCCCCCTCTGCGCGCCGCCAACGGAAGCCGGCGAGAATAGAGGCACGGCAGGCGCATGCGGCGATGGCGTGTTGGCGACGCTTGCGACGGCGTTCGGCCAAGATCCCCGTGCGCTGTGAGAAAGTCGCGACAGGAGGTTTTTCGTCGTTTCCGGTTTCCGGGGGCCCTTACCGGGCCTCGGGACCTTCAAAAAACGATTTGACCGGTCCCTGGGAAGGGGTCCAGATCTCGGGGGGTCGACGTTGTGAACAAAATCACGACGTCGGGGGTCGGGGTTCAAGGTTGAACTCCGCAGGGTCGAACGACGGGAAGGCACTGCGGGGCAGGGCAACGCCACGGGACCCGACGGAAGTCTGCTTCGAACGACGGGGGCCGCGATCGGGACCAGGTGGAGCGATCGACGCGGTGTCGAACACGTTTGCGCGCGCCGACGCCGCGCGAGCTTGCCGTACCCCCCCCCCGGAGAGGACAATCCTCGCTTGTGCCCCGGGAGCGGGGGCGACACAAAACTCCGCCGTCTTGAAGCCAAGAGGGGGCTTGTTCTGCACATCTGCCTTCGGGGGCCGTCTCGGCACCCTGGCCGGGCCGTCGAACATCGGGGGCGGCCAAGAGGGGGGTGATGACTGCGGGGGGGGCTATCGTGAAGTCGGGTCTGTCCCTCTACAGGGGGAATATTCGAAAATAGTAAAAAAAACAGTCTGGGGATTTCTGTTTAAATCATTTTTTACCTAACAGCTTGTGCTGATAGGTTTCTAGTAGGGTCAAAAGAGAGCACCATGACACTCCAGGGGTGTCCGGGCGGAAGCCGGCAGAAACCGGGAGAAAGCCTCGACGGCTCGAGAGATATTAAGCGCGCTCTCTTGCGTGCTGGGTCGCAAGTCCCAGCCCGAAGCCCGACCTTTCTCCCATACTGCCGCCATGGCCAGCGCCGTGGGCGCAAGTGACGAGGGAGACCGACACGACTCCCAAGGTCGGTGAGGTGAGCGCTGGACTGCGGCACGACGGTCCTGAACCTGGAACTCGAGATAGACTATGCCCACATCGGCTTCCAGGGAGCAAGTGCATCGGGGAGGCAAGCGGGCCGTACGACGGGCTGCGAGAGTGTTGCAATTGGACGGGGGTGTCTGGTACCGTGGTAAAAGGTACACTCGAGCTACGGCAGCCGCTCTACTCTCGGACCACCATGAATTCATGGCTCAGACGGCATTGGGAACTACATCTACTTCCTATGCATCGAGGTCTTTGACACCAGCTCGAGACCCCACGGCCACCAGCGCCGCCAAATATCACCTTCGCCAGCTTGCCCGACATCATCGTCAACAGCAGCTGATGAAGATTTGGACGTACAACTGTGAAAGCCTCCTCCGAGCGGATTGCCTGGCCGAGATCCTTCGACTCGCCCGCGCCGCTCGTGTTGCCATCATTAGCCTCCAGAGTACCCTGCTGGAGCTCGCCACCCCGTGGACCACAGAAGGCTACAGAGTTATCCCGACTCCGCGTACGACCAGAACCAGTAGAGATGGCTGTCCGATAGCTTTCAACCTGAAGTTTTTCTCTTTGAGCGAGCTCCGAGTCACTCGCGAGTGGATGAGTGGGCGATTACAGGGTATTCGACTCACTAGAAGAGGCCCCCGAGAACGTGATATCTACATCTTGAATGGCTACGCCCCGCTGAACGAGGTCAGCCACGGCCGCACTGAAGCCGATCACCACGAACGAGCCGAAGCCCATAAGGCCCTACAAACCCAGTTCTGGGACACGTGTCGAGCGGCCCCCCGCCAGATCCCGCAGCGCCTGGCCCTAATCTTCAACCTGGGCGCCAATGCTGCCATGTCCCCATCCCTGCCGAACGTGGGCTTCGCTGGACAGAGACGCCGCTATGCAGCCACCAACACCAACGGCTCGCGCCTACTGGAACTCCTCCAGGACTACCACATGATGGCCCTGAACACGTTCGGCAAGAGCCCTCGCCAGAACGGCACGTGGAAGCGCACGGTGGGCAAAGGATGGATCACCATCGACTACATCTGCGCCCGCTTAGCAGGCTCCTACGGCAAGCACGCAGCCCCTCTACAACAACTACCAGTCAGCCTTGGCGGATACCGCGACCACCGACCTGTCGAAGCCTACGTGCACGCTGGGCAACGTGCGCGTCGCCAGCCTGAGGAGAAGCCCCTGCGGTGGAACCACGACGCCATGGTGGCCGACCTCCACGCGCTCAAAGACCCCGAGGCACCTCCCCCGCAGCGCGCCCTCCAGATGCGCACAACCCTAGCCCAGATGATGACGGACAACGGCCTCACTAACCATTGGTGGATGACGTGTGGCGAGGAGATGCGTTTCGCCACCCCCTCGGAATACTTCAACGCCGTGGAGCACGCCATCGTTGAGGCCGCCGCCCCGCACTACGTCCCGGCGCCCACGCAGACCACGCGCCCGAAGCTGACGGACAGCACCCTGGCCCTGATCGAGACCCAGCACACCACCCAGAAACGCGTGGCTATGATCGCCGACCCCGCCTGCACGCGCTTCGTCGAGCTCCAGACCCTGTGCGACGAGGCGGCCAAGGCGGCTGCCAAGGCAGTGCGCTCAGAACGCCGACGACGTCTCGCAGGGACAGCGGCGGGGGCCGAGGCAGCGGACGCAAACATGAACCTGCGCAAGCTCCACGGCGTCGTTCGCCGCCTAGCTCCGAAGCCTACGGCGCCAGTCATCACGGTCACCAACCCCACTACGGCGACGGCATGCATGGACGCCGAGGAGGAGACCCACGTCCGCACCAAGGCCCTCTGCGACATTTTTGACGGCACCCCGATCAACAAGGACAAACCTGGAGGCCCTCCTGGGATCCTCCCGAGAGAGACGACACACGAATTGGCTCATACAGGATCGATCACGTTGCCAAGGCTATCGCCAAAAAAAATGCCGAACTACAAGAGCGCCCCCACCCTCAAGATGTCGCCCGACTCAACCGACCCCCACGACGGCTCCGTTATCGAACTGTGGAAGCTTGCTACGGCAGAAACGGCCCCAGTCCTTCGCGAAGTTTTCCAGGCTAGCCAAGCATTGGGCCATTCGGCCCAGCGCTTCAGGGACGGCGAGACTGTCTCCCTCCGCAAGCCGAAGAACGCCCGCGACCACTACCGCACCATCAACCTCATCAACCACATTGGCAAAGTCTTCATGAACGTCACCGTCGTGCCCTCCCTCCGCAACCTGGCCTCGAAGCTCTCGACCACGCAGTCCGGCGCGCTGGCGGGCCGCTCTACCCGGGGTGCGCTGGCGGTCGTAGCCGAGGTTATCCGACGATTCCGACTCCAGGGCCGCGCGTCCAAGCTGGGCTCCGCAATCCCAGGCATGCTCGTTGCGGCCCTGATAGACCTCGAGAAGGCCTTCGACCTGATCAATCGCGACGAGGTCTGGACTGCGCCCGAGGCCCTCGCCCTGAGCCGCGAGGCGCGCCTGACAGTGGAAGAGCTACACGAGGGCACATGCTACATTGCTCGCGACGTCCGCACCAACCGACCCATCAAGAAGCTCTTGATCCCACGCGGAGTTCGGCAGGGCAGCGTGGAGGGTCCGCTGCTGCTCATAGCCGTGTACGACCTTCTCACCTCGAAGCTGGAGCAGAGCCAGGGAAGGGCCGAGTTCCCCGAGATTCCTGTGATTTTTGACCCAGAACTGAAAAAAGATACGCCATCAGGACGCCTTGCTTGGTGAGGAGGAGGAGAGGATGGTCGTGTCTCCCATCAAACTCGTTGACGACCTGATCGCCCTCACGATTGCCGGAAACTTCGAAACGGTCTCTCGCTTCCTCACGTTCCTGAAGGCAGAAATCACGAAAGGCAAGATGAAGGTTAACGACACCAAAACCGAAATGTTGATTGCCACGACGGGTAAGCAAAGCAAAAGCCGGAAAGCCACGATCAGAGCGAAGCACACAAACATTCACATGCACGAGACCCCAGTCCATGCCGCTCCGAGTGTGAAGTACTTAGGGGCGAAGCAGTGTGACGATGGCACGATGGTGGATGAGGTTGCCC